CCCTACAGTTTTTTCAAATATCCTTGGTGTTATTTAATCTCTCCTTCTTCCTTCTCCTTCTGCATTACCCTTCCTACCCCCTCCTCACTTAAAGCCCCCCATATTTCCCATTTCCCCCTTGATAGCATCTGTGTTCTACTACCCCTCTCCAGAGTTCCTTCTTCCCACTTTCCTTCATGGGCTCTTTCTACTTTCCTGGCTTCTGCAGTTACTGAAGGTTATATACTCACTTCTAGAGGTTCAGAGCCAAATAAGAAAGAACACGCTTTCATTTTTTTTTCTGGGTCTGAGTTGCCTCTCTCAGTATATGTTCCAGTTTTATCAATTTACCAGGTTTAGTGATTGCACAGGCTCTTCATTTTCTCTTTTTTTTAGATTTAAGTTTTTATGTGAATACATGTGTGCCTACTTGTATGTATGTGTGCAGGGCCACAGACAGCATTGGTTTCCTTGGAACTGGAGCTACAGGCAATTGTGAGCCACCTGACTTGGGTGTGGGAAATCAAACCTGGGTCCTCTGCAAGAACAGCAAGTGCTCTTAACTCTGAACCAGGGGAATCTGACGCCCTTTCCAGGCCTCTGCAGGCATTGTCCAACACGGGTGCACTTACATACATGCAGGCAAAATACTCATATGCAGAAAATAAAAATGAGCAAAAAATAAAATAAAAACTCAATAAGAAAAGTCTTTGAAAGTTATTTTTTTAAAACAATGTTAATGAAAGTTCCTAGAAAGAATTGTACCTTACATTGAACCTTCCACAAAACTGATTATCTTCTTAGAACTTCAATGACTGTGAAGAGGTTGGAGGTCCAAAGCCCAAATACAATTTATCTTTAGCCCCTGTATGTCCAGCTCTGTTTCTGACCTAATACCCTTGTAACTAACAGGTAAAACCTTTTGGAAAATGTTAACAGACTGCATTTCCACAAAAAGGCTAAAATATGGTTAGATGACATCTGGGGCCCATAGCACAGATTTTCCCACCAATGTATTTATTTTCTTTTATATATGTGAGTGCTTTGTGTGCATGTCTTTAAGTGCACCTGTGTTGTGCAATGCATGTGGAGGCCAGAAGAAGGTGTTGGAGTCTCTGGAACTGGAGTTACAATGATTGTTAGCAAGCATGTGGGTGTTGGGAACTGTACCCAGGTTTTCTGCAAGAGCAGCCAGAGTGCTCCAGACACCCCGCCCCCAATATTTGAAAAGTACATTAATTTATGACTTTCTTTGTTCTATTACTATAAAAACTTTGTTAACTATTACTACTTTAGCCCCTGTATGTCCAGCTAGAGAAGAACATATTAGTACCATTTCCCTAAATTAATACAATTTCTAATTGGAGTTAGAAATTCTAAACATGGAATTTAGGGTAGCTTAAATCTTTATTCTTAGGATGGATTACTCATATTTAGTTCCAGAATAAACCATCTCTTATGCCCTTTGAGGTGTGAGTTGTGTTTTTGCACAGATATGAGACCTGAACATGGGGCTCTGAGAATGATCCACTCCATTTTTCATCAGAAGAGCCATTCAAATGGGAGTAAGTTACAACAACATGGATCTCTTGTGTCCAAACCAACAGTGGGTTTTGGTGAGTTCTTTTGATCTCTGTGGGCCTCTGTACACATATGTGCACACACATAGAGAAACAGATACGGACACATACACAAATCTTTAAAAATATATTTCAAAAAGGTATAAATTTAAGATTAACAATTGCTTAGTGATATGATAGAAAAAGTCAAATAAGCAGTCTAACTTAAAACTGACAAATAGGGGCTCAGCAGTGAAGAGTGCTTACTACTTATTGCAGAGGACCAGAGATTGGTTCTCAGCACCCACATTAGGCAGCTGACAACCACCTCTAACTCCAACTCCAGGTGATTCAATGCCCTTTTCTGGTTTTCATAGGCATTCCCACATGTGTATACACACACACACACACACACACACACACACACACACACACACAATCTTTATAAAAAACCAACAGTATGCATGAGAGCTATAAAATCTTGATTTTTCAGTACATATTTTTTTGAATTTTTGTGCATTTATTACATCCTAATTATGTTTAGACTATCTTTCCTATCTGTACCCACTAATAGTCCACTCCCCCACTGGATTTCATGCATTTTGTCAAGTTCCATAACTGGTCAAATGCAGAGAATAAGTGTCTGTGAGATGCCCAGACCTAAGGGACACATCTACAATGGAACCTCTGTACCTAAAGCTCACAGAACACAGTGGAACGAGAGTAGAGAGAATGCTAATGTATTTCTCAATTCTCACCAGTGAAGCTTCCTCATGTGACAGAGTGCAATTAACACAGAGAGCCAGAACTGGCCAAAATGTAGAGAATAAGACCGCAGACTGTATGTGTCCCTGGATAGGACTCCTACATTAAACCTCATCCACCCAGGCTCAGGGACCGTTGTGGAAGAGGGGGCAGGAAGATTGTAAGAGCCAAGGGTGGTGGATGACTATAAGGAAACAGTTTTCTAGGCTTTTGGGAACTTGCTCATATGAACTTAACAGCGATGGTGGCAACATGCACAAGACCCATGCAAACTCCAACCAGACAAAAACCCAGCATAAAATCTTGAGTTTTAAATATCTGTTTCTGGTCAGCGTGACGGTACATGCCTTTAATCTTTTAAAATTTATTTTTTATGTGTGTATGAGTGCTTGCATGTATAGAAGTGCACTACATATGTGTAATATCCACAGAGGCCAGAAGAGGGCATCAGATCTTCCAGATCTGGCATTACAGATGGTTGTGAGCTGCTGCGGGTGCTGGGAAGTGAACCCAGGTCCTCTGCAAGAGCAGTAAGTGCCCTTAACCATTGAGCTAACTCTGCAGCCTTGAGGTTTTCTTTTAAACACTAATAAAATTGTCCTTGAGCTTTCGTTTGAGTCTGTTCTTAAATTATTTTATTAGTGGAACTATGAACACCAAGAAGGGATCCCAATTTACCCAGCATCAAGCTGACAGGTCCAAATGCACAGTGGTGTGCTAGGGTGTGAGGCAAACGCCTGAGCTGGCTTTTGGTGCTCTACGGTGCAGCCTGCCTAGGACAGGCTATGACCGGAAGTCTATGGTCATCCTTCTTTAAGCTGAGGGCTTCAGTTTCCCCTGTGACTCTTGTCCAAAGGAGATCTTACTGGGGAGCACGGATGGCAAAGCCTGGCCCCTGGAACTCAGTTAAAGGGCCACAAAGGTGACTGGTGTGGGGGAGGTCCTGTTTCTGTTCTTAGGCTCAAGCCTTGTTGGGACTTTAAGCCTCTATGGAAACCGGAACTGGCCTACTCTAATGTGTGACAGCCCTGTTCCTTCTGCAGGCCTCAGTTTCCTCTCTGCAATGGGAGTGACCTGTAGGTTTCTAGAGTCTCTCTGTTCTGCTCTGTCCCCAGGCTGGGGTGTGGGCTCAGGCTCCCAGGCTTCTGCAGGCTCTATTGACAGCTCCAGTGGTCCCAGGCTTTGGGGAGCCAGCCAAATATAGAGAGAATGTCTCACTTGTGCCTGTTCAGCCTGAAGGGACACGTGGCTCTTTGCACCTGCTTCCACTTGGGCACAATTGCCCTTTGAGTATAGAGCTGGGGGGGGGGGTCTTCCAGGAGACAGTGAGCTGCTCAGAAGACCCAGAGCTGTTGGTGGGTTGAGCAAGAGGGCACATGCATTTCTGAGCTTGTGGCCTGGACCGCAGTTGGTAGAATCAGAGGACCTGAGGCTCAAGGCTGGCAGTGGACAACGCAGCCTTCCGTGGTCTTTGAGGTCAGCTATTGCTTCACGTGAGTGACTGTCCTCTACTGCTTCTCTAGCTTGTGTTCCCTTCTATGAATGCATACTAGGTCCTTACTGAGACATCGATGTGGTCTGTCCAGGTGCTGTGCCGATATCTGCTGTCTTTGCCTCTCCTCAGTGATCTAACCTAGTTACTTCTATATAGGTTGGTCTGTAGGCTGGTCCATGGTGGCTGGCTCTAGGCTGTGTGTCTGACTGTTGCCTAGCCTGGAGTGACTGATGGTTGTGTGACTGGTGGTGGTCTGACCTAAATGGCTGCCTGGGGACTCTGACTGCTCATATCCTGCAGGGAAGGTACCTTCCCCTCTGTCTTCTCATTCACCCTACACCACCCTGTATACACTCACCTTCTGGTCTGTCATTATGCAAATCAGACAGTAGTCCCTGGCTGGTCCAGCCTGTTCTCCCAACATACCCCATACAGATCCTTCCTTGTGAGGCATACTAGGGAGGGAACAAGCTCCAGGACTGCCTGTGGCTTCCATTTCTTGGAAGTGGTCCCCAAGTGTCCCTTGGGCCCCTGGCTCTGTAGATGGGGATGTGTGGGGTAGAGGTAAGAACAAGCAAGGGTGCCTGGCATAGTGGCACATGCCTTTAATCCCAGGATTTGGGAGGCAGAGGCAGGTGGATTTCTGTGAGTTCAAGGCCAGCCTGGTCTCCATAGTGAATCCAGGCCAGCTATGGCTACAGGGAGACCCTGTCTCAAAAAGAC